TTTAAAAATAATATCTTTTAAAAAAAATTATAAAAAATGATATTTTATTAATATTAATATTATTTTTTATTTATTTATATTTTTTTTGTTTATATTTTGTAATTTTTTAAAATAATTAATTAATATATATTTTTATAATTTATTATTTTTTATCTTTATATATAATTTTAAAAAATTAATTTTTTTTTTAATTATTATTAAAAATTAAAAAATATATAAAATCTATATGCATTACTAATACATATATTTTTTTAATATATCAAAATAATTATTTTTTTATAAAAAATAGAATGAGTAATATATTATATTATATAGTTATGAATTTAATATGACAAAAAAATAAAAAAAAAATATTGTTATTTTAAAATTTAAATAATTTATATTATTAATAATATATATATAATTATATATATATTTATATATATAAATTTCATAAATTTATTAAAAATAAAAAACCTATAAAAATAGAATCTTAAGAATTTTTATTATTTTTTCATAATTTAATATTAAATATATAATATAAAATAATAATTTATATTATAATTATATATATTTAATTATATATGATAATAAAAAATATTAAAAATTAGTAAATAATTATTTAATTATATATATTATATTTATATTAAAAAAATTTGTATATGTAATAATATATAAAAATATGAATAATTTTTATTAATATTATACTATAGAAAATAAAAATATACAATTTTATTACAAAAATATATAATATCAATAATACAAAATATATATATAACAAAAAATATAAAAAAAAAATTAAATATATAAAAATAAATATTAATATTATTTGATATTTAAATATTATAATAAAATATAATGTTTAAAATATATATATATATATATTTTTTTTTTATATATATATTTATATATATAAATTTCATAATTTTATTAAAAAAAAAAAACCTATAAAAATAGTATCTTAAGAATTTTTATTATTTTTTCATAATTTAATATTAAATATATAATATAAAATAATAATATAAATTATAATTATATATATATAATTATATATTATAAAAAAAAATATTAAAAAATTAGTTAAATAATTATTTAATTATATATATTATATTTAAATTAAAAAATTTATATATGTAATAATATATAAAAAAATGAATAATTTTTATTAACATTATACTATAGAAAATAAAATATACAATTTTATTATAAAAATATATAATATCAATAATACAAAATATATATATAACAAAAAATATAAAAATAAAATTAAATATATAAAATAAAATATTAATATTATTTGATATTTAAATATTATAATAAAATATAATGTTTAAAATATATATATATATATATTTTTTTTTTTATATATATTTATATATATATATATATATATAACTCTTTTATATGCTGGAAGTTTATCTATTAAAATTTTTATTTCGGCTACATTTTATCGAAGATTTTCCAAAACATCTATATAATTTTGATTTATTTTTCTTTTGACACTTTAATTATATTTTTATATCTTTTATTAAAATATCTCTTTAGTATTATTACTATTTGACAATTTTAGAAGCAAATGTATTAGGAATAGAATAATATTATAACTCTTAATTAAATTAAAATATATCATCTTTAGATTTCTTAAATGATTCTACAGTTTTTTAATAATTTATTTTAAAATTATCAAGTCTTTTATATGAATCTTACAATATTCCAATCAAATTTTTCATAAATTTATTTATAAATTCTTATATATTCTATTTATTTAGAATTTTAGTACTTTTATATAATATTTTAATTTTTATAAATGCGAATCAAGTTCTTCAACCTACCTATCTAGTAAATATTAGTTCTCTCTTTTTTTTTACAATTGTTTCTTGATATAATTTATATAAAAGATTAGAATTTTTTTCTATGTCTAAAATAAAATACATTATATAAACATATTTGGATATTTACTTATTATAGAATGAATGGTAACATAAGTCGCATTTAAATAAAGACATTTAATCACAATCTAAATATTAATAAATACTGCTTATTTCATTGTTTGATTGGAAAAAACATTTTAAATGTACTTTTAGGAAGACGAAAATATATTATTTTTATATTATATTTTTTATTTTATTCAATTCAATTATAGAAAAATATATATATTTTTTTCAAAATTAAATAAAATGATATTAAAATATATACTAATATATTAAGAACTAAATAAAAAAAAAAAAAAAATTCTTTATTTAAGATAATTTACAAGATTAAAAAAAAAAAATAGTATTATAAATAAAATATATAATAATTAAAATATAATAAATTAAATATAAACTAAGAATAATTATAAAATTAGTTAATTTTTTAAATCAAAATATAAAATATTAAAAACCATATACATTTAATAAAAAAAGTTTAATAAAAGAATTAAGGCAAATAAAATAAAAAGTTGAAAAAATTATAAAAAATAATTATAATATATAAAGAAAATTGATGATAATAATATAATTAATATTTTAAATACATAAATATATATATATATATATATATATATATATATATTTTTTAATTTATAATATTAAATATTAAAAAAATACATAATTTTTTTTATAAAATATTATAAAACAAAAATTATTAACATCTTATTAATATTTTTATTTTCATAAAAAAAATATTAATTTATAGATATTAAAGAAAAATTAATTAAATAATTATTTATTTTATTTTATAATTGAAATTTAAAGTTTATTATAATTTAAATAGTTTTTAAAATATACAATAAAAGGAAAGAATTTTTTTTAGTTAACAATTCATTTAATTTAATAATTATATAAAAAAAAAAATAGGAAATAATATCTTAAAATTTAAAAAAGTAATTAAATATTTTAGTTTAATATTAATAATTAAGAATTTAATATAAATCAAAATATAAACTATTTAATAAATTTTAATTTAATATCATTGTTAGTATAAGTATAATAATCTAAAATTTTAAATATAATATTTTTATTTTCTTTGCAATTTTATTTTTTGTTATAAAAAGTTAACTTTCAAAAATATAATTATTTTTGTAATATTTTTATATATTCATTAAATAAATAAATTCTCATTTCAAATTCTTTATATTTATTTAACAAAAAGTAAAAATAAAGTATTTAAAGTTCCGCATTTTATTTTATTTTTATTTTTTTTAAATAAATAAATTATATAAATTAATTTTTTATTAAATTATTTTTAACTCACATTATTATCATATTAAAATTAATAAAAAAGAATAATAATCTAAGATATACTATAATAAAATCTCTTTTTTTTTGTTTAGAAAAAAATAATTATTATTTAAATATTTTAAAAATCAATAATCACAAATATAGCAATTTCCTTTTTATTTTCAAAATTATAGCAATTTCCTTTACTAATTCTGTATATCTCAGACTCGCATTTACAAAAAACCTAATTATGTGAATATCCATATTTTTTTTCACTACATTTTTTCACATCTCTATTTTTAAAAAATTATAATTATGAAAAATATTAATATATATATATTTTTTTTTTGATAAAAATTAATATAAATAGTGATTAAAAAAACAAATTTAGATATTTATTATTTTAAAAAATATATTTTTTGAATATATAACATATTACATTTATTTAAAAAAAAAAAATATTATATAAAACATTATATTATTTTTTTAAAATTGTCTATAATTAAAAATATTAATTTATTTTAATATTTTTATATATTTATATTATATATTAATTTTCTATATTTTATTTTTATTTTTTATACATATATTTATAATTATTGATATTTTATAATTCCAATAATGAATAATTTTTTTTATTTTATTTTATTTTTTCCGAAATTTTTTATATTTATATTAAAATTTCATAAAAATGAATAGATGGTAATGGAAGAGTTACAATCATATTATTTATATAAAAAAAGAAATAATTATTTTAATTGATTCCAATAAAAAAATTAAATATATAATAAATTATAACTTTTGTAATTTTTTTTAAATGAAGTTACATCATAAAATATAAAAAGCTTATTATAAATATTAATATATTTATCTTTAAAATTTCAAAACTTTACATATTATTTATAGCTTAATCTTAATTTTTGTCTAAAAGTAATTATTTAAAAATAATAATACAAAAATAAAAAAAATTATAAGAATTTTAATATTTGCTTTGTTATTAAGGTTATTTTTGAATTTATTTATTAAGATTACAATTTCTAAATAACAAAGAATTTATTTATAAACTATTTTATATGCATTTATTATTAAAAAATAAAAAAAACATTAAGTTTTCAATATATATAATAATTAACTTTAATTACTTTATTAATAATTCATTTTCAAAAGATTTTTTTTTTTAAAAAAAAAAAAATTTAATGAACTAAAAATTAATATAAGAAATTATATATAAAAATATTTTCTAAAAAATATAACTTAATTTATTTATGAAAAAACTTCAAATAAATCTATAATAATTAAAATATATATTTTTATTATATTTTTGAAAAGATTTTATTTTTTTAAACAATTTAAAATCGAATGTATTAATTTTAATAATATAAATAAAATCAATAAATTTATTTAATTATCTATTTAATAATATTAAAATCAATTTAATTTGATATTTATTAAAAATTTATTTATCTATAAATTAACAATATTTTAATTCAAATTTATAAAAAATCAGGAATATAAAATAATTTCACATAAAATTTAAATTTATATTATAATAAATAAAAAACTAAATAATATATAAAATTATAAATTAATGTGAAATAATTAATTTAATTATAAAATAAATTATATAAAAAAATACAAAAATCTGATAAATTTAATACTCACAAGAATATATGCATATATTAAATAATAATTAATTTATAAAAATTAAAAAATATGTTAAAAAAAATTATTTTAATTATTACCTTAATTTTAGGGACATTGAATCATTTTAATCATTAATACGGTCATGAGAGTAAGCAAATACAAAATCACTATTAGAAAATGAAGGATAATTACAATAAAATGGAAAATCCAAAACATGAGTAACGTATTCTTTAAATAGGTAGCGAAGCAAAGCCTATAAGAATAACTATAGATTATACTACGATAGATTAAGTAAACTTGGGAATAACACAATAATAAAAAGACTATTTAATAAGTATTATGGATTTATCCAAGCTTTTTTTCTAGAAACTTTTGAAAGTATACCCATTTATAGGAAATAACATATTCCCTAAAACTTAGCAAAAATTATGTTAAGATGTAGAAATTCCTTAATAAGATAAAACAGTAGGAATTGCAGATTCCGATTTACACTTGTATGTCATTTATGTTAATTAAAAAAACGGATGGCATGCAGATGCAAATTTTTGTGCTTATGCTAACAAAGGAATACCAAGACCTACTTTTGGAAGAATTTGTTTTAACTTAAATTATATAAAATTTGAGGATAATCCAAAAACTTTTAATAATAATTTGGACATAACTATACACGAAATTTTACATATAATTGGATTTTCAGGAAACGCTATTAAATATTGGATAGATCCTAAAACTAATAAACCTTATAACAAAAGATAATTGAAAAAAATTTAAATAACAAAAACATACAGAAATATAAAAACGACTCTTTTAGCAACCAGAAATGTTGTAAAAGTAACTAGAAAATATTTTAATTGCCCATCAGCAGAAGGAATGTAGATTGAAAATTAAGTAAAATAATATAATATAATAAATAAAAATATATAAAGAAATATATATATAAATATATAAATATATAAATATATATATATTTATATATATATATTTTTTTTTTTTTTTTTTTTTTGATTATTTAGGGTGCCTCAGGTTCAATAGGATCTCATTGGGAAAGAACTATTATATCTAATGAAATGATGACTGGATCTGTAATAACTGTTAATCGGGTTTTTTCTATATTTACAATTGCTGCTTTAAAAGATACTGGTTTTTATCCTGAAGTAAATGAGAATATGTCTGATGATATATTCTGGGGAAAAGGCAAAGGTTGCGATTTTTTAGAAAAAGCTTGTCAAAGTTAAACCGAATATCCTGAATTTGCTAAAATAACTAATAATCTTTAATGCTCATTTGAACACGAAGGATATGGTTATGCTAAATCTGATTTATATCTTGACGGATGTGCAATAATATAACCTTCTTCAAATTAATTATGTACAAATCCTAATAGTATAATTGATAAAGATTTAAAAAGTCAGGAATCGGATAAATTATCTAATTATTCAACTTATAGTAAATGCTTCTAATCTTCAGCTTCAAAATTATCATCTATAATTAATAACGATAGTAACTTAAGATGCCATTAATTTAAATGCTCCTCTGATGCTTCTTAAATAACTATTATGTTCCCTGAGATTTAACATGAAGTTTTATGTCGAATAGAAGAATAAGGACAAAAAAAGGATATTGATGAAAGTGGCATTAAAGCTAAAGGTTAAATCACATGTCCTTAAGATTTTAAAAGATTCTGTAATTATACCCCTATATGTCCGAATTTCTGTTCATAAAAAGGATTCTGTGTAAAAGGTTAATGTTTCTGTCAAGCCGGATATGGAGGAACTGATTGCTCTATAAAATGCTCCGGTGCAGTCCATAATCAAACTTGTATTGAAAACTCATAATGTCCTTCAGGTTTATTCTTGAACCCAGATAATACTTGCAAATCAGATTGTCCTTAAGGTTTTTTCGGAAGGGCAGGATAATGTTAGCCATGTAATAGTAATTGTTCTAGATGTACAGGTCCATCAGCTAATTAGTGTACTTAGTGTTAGTTTTTGACATTATTGTAATAAAATTATTGTTTGTATAAATGTAATGAGAAATATGGATTTTCACTAAATTAAGCTTCTGGTAAATGCGAGTCTGAGATATCTAGAATTTGTTAAGGAAATTGCTAATATTGTCATAAAAAAAATTCTCCTTTGTGTTATACTTGCAAAACAGGTTTTTTCTTTTATTAAGGTGATAAGTCGTGTTTAAGTAAATGTCCATTAGGATTTATCGAGTAATAAAAGACTTAAGAATGCTAAGAACTCTCTGTTGGTTGTCTTTAATAAATTGATTTTAATACATGTATTTTATGTGATTCTGCTAAAGGATATATATTAGATACAGAAAAGAAATGTACTTTGTGTAAATAAAATTGCATATCATGTAATCCTAATGATGCAACAGAGTGTTTAGTTTGCGAGGGAATTAAATTAAAGAATTATGATGGTAGTTGTGTAGATGCTTGTTTTAATAATACTTTTTATTCTGATAATAGTGAAAAATGCGAAAAATGTACTGAAAATTGTTTATATTGCAATTAAAGAGAGTGTAATTAATGCTAAGAAGGTTATTATGTTGACTTTTAAACTAAAGCTTGTACTTAATGTTCTTCTAAGTTTACTAATTGCTTGGCTTGTAATGATTCCTAATGTTAAAAATGTAATCATGGATACTAATTGGATTCAACTTAAAAGAATTGTGAATTAACCACTTTAGGACAATGTCCTTATGGATGTGAATCCTGTTCTTAATAAGGAGTATGTTATAAATGTAAAGATGGATATTATATAAGTAATGCAAGTTAATAATGTGTTAGTTGCACTAATATATTCAGTTAATGTGAAAAATGTACTGAAAGTATTTGCATTTAATGTAATAATGAATATTAATTTGATTTTAGAAAAAAGCAATGCTAATATATATCTGCTACTATTGAAAATACAAAAATATTATGTCCAATAGGATGTAATTAATGTAATAATGCTAGGGAATGCTAAAAATGTAATTATGGTTATTTTTTAAAAAAAAGTAATAAATAATGTTTATATTGTTATACAAAATATATTAATTGTTTAAATTGTACGAAAAAGCTATGTACTACTTGTTTTTCTGGATATTATTATGATTCCTAATAAAAAGAATGCGTAAAATCTACTAGATTATTGCTCTAGGTTAAAAACGAGGATTAAAAATAAAAAAGTTATTAACGATTATTTGATTTTATTATTGGATATATTATATTTGGATTATTATTGTATTGATTTTCGAATTAATTATTTTTAAAATTTATTTTTACAATGTTTTTAATCATTGATTTATTTATTTATTTTTATTAAAATTTTATAAATATTATAAGGATAATTTTTTATTTTTTTTCTATAATATTTAATAATAAATATACTTATAAAATAAATTTAATTTAAATAATATTATAAGATTATAATATTTATATTAATTTTAATTATGCTAAGATAATAATTACTATATTCTAATAAAACTAATATATATTTATTAAAAAAAATTAAATTATTAAATAATTTAATTTAATTAAAGAAAATTAATTATAAAAATTTTAAATTTTTAACTATTAAATTAAATTTTTGAAATTTAAAATAATTAAAAAATAAAAGTTATAAAAATTATAATACAAATATATAAAAATAGATAAAATATGATATAATTAATATCATATTATATATATATATATATATATATATATATATTATAAATATATATATTTTTATCAAAATAAAATTAATTAAAAAAAACAATATTATATGAATTTTATTATTATTAATATTAATTAGTAATTCATAAAAAACCAAAATTTTTATAATAATAAATATAATTTTATATTATTAAAAATTTACAGTATAATATATTTTATTTAAGATTTTTTAAAAATTATTTACTTAAAAATATTTTTTATAAATTTAATTAATAAATCTATGTATAATATTGTATAAATAATAAATATAATATTAAAATTTAATTATAAAAAATTATAAACTAAAAAATAAAAATATTATAAATTTTTATTTAAGAAAAATATTAAAATAATGTATTTAGATAAATATATAAAATAATTATTTATTTTTATTTTTTACAAGTAATATAAATCTTAGATTAATTTAATAGTTTTTAAAATATAGAAGAAAAGTAATTTTTTTTAACAATTTTTTTAAGTTACAAATTTATGTAAATAATAAATATATAAAAAAACTATTTAAAATAAAATTTAAAAATTTTAAATATAAAAAAGTAATTTAATATTAATGATCAAGAAGTTAATAGAAATCAATGTTTAAATAATTTAAATAAAACATAATTCAATAACTATTTTAGAATTAATATAATAATCTAAAATTTTATATAAAATATTTAATTTTACTTTGATATTATATTTTTTATTATAAAAAAAATGTAAATTTTCGAAAATCTAATAATCTTAATATTCATAATATTTTTATATGTTTATTAAATAAAGAAATTTCATTTTGATTTCTAAAATATAAATAAATTAAAATTTTTATATTTTTTTTATTTTTTATATTTTATTTTTTTAAATAAAATAATATAATAATAAAATTTTTAGCAAATAATTTTTAACTTGCATTAGAAATAATAAAAAAGAATAATAATCTTGGCATATACTATTATAAAATTTATTTATTTAAAAAAAAATATTATTTAAAAATTTTAAAAAACCATAAATAAATTTTATAAAAAAAAAAGTAATATTAATTAAATAAGATATATTATTTTTTATATATATAAAAACTAAACTAAATAATTTCTTCTATAATTATAAATATATAAGAATAAACTTATGATTTGTTTTTTTCAAAATCATCATATTACTAATCCGAATATAACATAACCAATAATAAAAATAAAGACTCCTTAATAACTATTATATTATTAAATATCGCCTTAAACCTATTTTAATAATCTGAAAGACGGGACTTTTGCGCATTTTTTTGATTTCTAATTATATTCATATCCAGAAAGACATTGAGTGCATTCAAATTCCGTACACATTATACAATAATTGTATTTTTAAAAACAAGTAACACATTTTTTAGTTGTATTATCTAAAATTAAACCTTAATTACATTTTATGCATTCTCCTGATTATGTACATTATTAACATCCCGTTGGGCATTATATTCCTGTATTCCCATTATTTTAAACTTTATCTGAGAGATATAAACATTCTTTTTTTTAATGATCAAATTAATATCCATGATTACATTTAATACAACTACTTTCAGTACATTTTTCACAATAACTGAATTTAAGAATGCAACTAGTGCATTATTAAGTTGAATTACTTACATAATATCCGTCTTAACATTTATAACATTCTCCTTATTAAGAACATTATTCACATCCGTAAGGGCATTCTACTTAAGTAGATTATTAAATGGCTTATTCACAATTCGTTTAAATTGAATCCAATTAGTATCCATGGTTACATTTTTTACATGAGAAATCATCACAAGTTAAACAATTTGCATACTTAGAAGAACATTAAAAGCACTATTTAGTTCTATATTCAGCATAATAACCATCTATGCATTTTGAGCAACCTCTTCCATCACAATATATACAATTTTCACTACATTTTTCGCATTTTTAAATATTATCAGAATAAAAAGTACCTTATTGGCATATATCTACACAACTACCGTCATAATTTTTTAGTTTAATTCCCTCGCAAACTAAACACTCTTTTGCATCATTAGGATTACATTATATGCAATTTTACTTACATAAAGTACATTTTTTATCCGTATCTAATCTATATCCTTTAACAGTATCACATAAAATACATGTATTATAATCAATTTATTAAAGACAACCAACAGAGAGTTCTTAGCATTCTTAAGTCTTTTATTACTCGATAAATCCTAATGGACATTTACTTAAACACGACTTATCACCTTAATAAAAGAAAAAACCTGTTTTGCAAGTATAACACAAAGGAGAATTTTTTTTATGACAATATTAGCAATTTCCTTAACAAATTCTGGACATCTCAGACTCGCATTTACCAGAAGCCTAATTAAATGAATATCCATATTTCTCATTACATTATTCCACACACTAATTTTCTTATAATAATGTCAAAAACTAACATTTAGTACACTCATTAGCTGATGGTCCTGTACATCTAGAACAACTACTATCACAGGGTAGGCATTTTCCTGATCTTCCAAATAGGCCTTAAGGACAATCTGATTTGCAAGTATTATCTGGGTTCAAGAATAAACCTGAAGGACATTATGAGTTTTCAATACAAGTTTGATTATGGACTGCACCGGAGCATTTTATAGAACAATCGACTCCTCCATATCCGGATTGACAGAAACATTAACCTCTTACACAAACTCCTTGCTCGGAACAGAAATTCGGACATATAGGGGTATAATTGCAGAATCTTTTAAAATCTTAAGGACATGTGATTTAACCTTTAGCTTTTAAGCCACTTTCATCAATATTCTTTTTTTAACCTTATTCTATTTTTCTACAAATAATTTAATGTTAAATCTCGGGAAAAAGAATGGTTATTAAAGAAGCATCAGGGGAACATTTGAATCGATGGCATCTTAAGTTACTTTCATTATTATTTATATATGAGGATTTTGAAGCTGTAGATTAAAAGCATTTACTATGAGTTGAATAATTAGATAATTTTTAATATTCTTGATGTTTTTAAGCTTTATCATTTATACTATTAGGATTCGAACATATTTAATTATTTGGAGGTTAAATTATAAGACATCCGTCTGCATATCTGTCGACTTGAGCAATACCAAATCCATCAAATTCAAATGAGCATAGAATATCCTGAGTATTTGTGGGAAATTCAGGATATTCGGTTTAACTTTAACAGGCTTTTTCTAAAAAATCGCAACCTTTACCTTTTCCCCAGAATATATCATCTGACATATTCTCATTAACTTCGGGGTAAAAACCAGAGTCTTTCAAAGCAGCAATTGTAAATATTGAAAATACTCTATCAACAGATACTACAGCTCCAGTCATCATTTCATTATAAATAATAGTTCTTTCCCAATGAGCACCAATTGATCCTTGACCACCCTAATAATTAAATTTATATAAATATGAATATTTTATATATAAAAAAAATTAAATAAATATAAAGAAAAAAAATATATATTTATAATAATATTTATATTTATATTTATATTTATATTTATATTTATATTTATATTTATATTTATATTCATATTCATATTTATAATAAATATATACATATAATATTTACTTAATTTTCTATTTACATTCCTTCAGCTGTTGGGCAATTAAAATATTTTTTTGTTACTTCTACTACATTTTTTGATGTTAATAGCGCTGTTTTTATTCCTCTGTAATAATATACTTTTTATAATTTATTTTTATATAAAATTTTAAAAGGTTCATTTGTTTCAGGATTTATCCAATAGTACATTGCGTTTGCTGAGAAACCTACTACATGTAAAATTTCATGAATTGTTGTTTCTAAATCATTTTCAAAAGATTCCGGATCTCCCCCAAATTTATCCATATTTGTTAAGTTAAAATTTACTCTTCCAAAAGTAGGTCTTTCGATGCCTTCATCAGCCAAAGCGCAAAAAACTGCATCTGCAACTGTTCCACTGTTTTCTTTAGTATATAGGATGTACAGGTGCAAATCTGAATCAGGAATTCCTTCTTTTTAATCATTTTCAGGAATTTGAATTTCTTAACATACTTTTGGCCAATTCACTGGAAAAATGTTATTTCCTATAAACGGGTATACTTTCAAAAGTCTCTAGAAAAAAAGCTTTGATGTTTCCATAATTTTTATTAGGTAGTTTTTTTATTATTGTGTTATTCCCAAATTTATTTAATCTATCATAGAATAATCTATAGTTATTCTTATAGGCTTTGGCTCGCTACCTATTTTAAGAATCCGTTAGTTATTGTTTTTTTTTTCCATTTTTTCGTAATGTTCCTACATTTTCTCATAGTGATTTTATACTTATTTACTCTCATGACCGCATTGATAGCTAAAATTCGTAAATATAACTAGAATTAAAATACTAATATAAATTATTATTTTTTTAAACATATTTTTTTTTAATTTTATTTATAAATATTTTAAATTATAAATTATTTATATTTATATTTAAAAATTTTGTTTACGTTAATATTGTTTTTATTTTTATAAACATGCATAAGTGGGATTAATATTGCAGATATTCACTTTTTTAAAAAGGTGTAGATTAATATACTTAATAATATATAAATTTATGGTAAATATATCAAAATTATTTTATTTAAAAATTAAATATTTTTATTAGTAATATATATTTATTTAACATTTGATATATATCAAATAATTTATTAATAAAATACAAAATTTGAATTAAGATATTGCTTTTTATTTGAATACTTTTCTAAAAAATATTAATAATATCTATTATAAAAATAATTTTATATATTGAATATAAATTTAGCTAATACTTATTAAAAGCCAATATATTATTAAATAAAAAATATCTTTTTTATAAAAAAAAATTAAAACAATATGCATTTTCAAATTATTAGTTTTATTATTAAAAATATATCACAATTATATTAATAAATTAATTTAATATATCTTTTATTATATATTTTTATATTTTTGAACTATTGTATATTTTATTTATTTTTATTATTCAATCTTATTTAATTATGTTATAAAAATCTATAATATATATATTTTTTTTTCAATCAATATAAATAAAAATATAAATATGTATTTAATTATAAAATAAAAACAATTATGAATTTATAATTATAAGCAAATATATTAATTTTAATATCTAATTATAATAATATTTTTATTAAATATATAGATATAAATTATATTAAAATTTTTTATATTTCATATATTGATGAAAAAAATATTTGTTTTCGTATATTTTTAATTTTAACTATTTAATTGTATTAACTAATTTTATGAAAATTAAATATGATTAATATAAATTATATTTTTTATTTATTTAAATGTATAAAAAAAAAATAATCTAATAAAAAAAAAATCATTTAATAAGATTTATTAATTAAATAATATTTTTTTTTTTATTAAATAATTATAGAAAAACTAAAATTATATATATATATTAATTAAATATGATTTGATGAAATTACGAATATATTGTATTTATTCAATATATTTAAAATAGAAAAATATTTATTTATTTGTTAAATAATTATTTTATATAACAAAATAATATTAATAACTATTTAATTCTATTTAAAAATTATATATGCAGTTTGTTTTACAAATTCAAAAAAGAAAATTTTTATATTATAAAAATAAATAGACAATTTAATAATTTTTAATAATAAAAAATATAAAAATATACATTATAAATAAATAATATTTAATTATATGATTTATGTCTATAAAAAAAATATTCATAAAAAAATAAAATATTTAATGATATAATTATAAAAAAAAAATATATATATAAAAATATATATTAAATTAATTATATATATAATAATATATATTTTATATATAAATAATAAATATATATTTTTTTTTTTAAATTTAATTTAATAATTTATAAATGATAAATATCAAAATCTAATTAATAATTCAGAATACAAAAATCTTATATTCTTATAATATATAATTTATTTTTTATAATATGTATAAAAAAATATATATAAATCAGGATAATTTTTTGTATTAATAATATATTATTTTAAAAACTTCTTATATTATTTTTTAATTTCAAATAATTTTTTTTAATTATATTAAAACAAAATATTTTATAACATATAAGTTAATTATATTTTATTTTAATATAATAAATAAAATATACAATATATCTATATATTTTTGTTTTTAGAAAATAAAAAATAAATTTAAATTAAAGTCTTTAAATCAAAATATATAAAATTTTTAATTAATTTAAATTATTATAAAAATATAAAGTTTATAATAATTCATATAGTCTAAAAAATTATAAATAAAAAAAAAGTGTAGTTTTTTAACGTTGAAAATAGCATTTTTAATTTTAAATATTGTTTATTAATTTAAATAAATTAAAATAATAATTTTAAAAAATTAAAGTTTAGAATATTTATATTAAAAGTATTTAAATAAATATTATATATTTAACTATATGATAAATATAAATATTAAAATTAATTATTTAAAAAAGTAATTAAATATTATTAGTCTATATAAATAAATTATATAAACTATTATATTTTAAATGATGAATTTTTATTTCTAAATATTAATATTCTAAATTTTATTTAAAAATATAATATATTTTTTATTTTCTTAATAATATTTTTTTATATTATTTTTAAAAAAAAAATATATTATTTGATTTTTTTTATTTAATAAAATACATATAATTTTATATTTATTTTTTTGAAAATATAAAAATTATATATAATTAATTAAATAGTATATAATTTTTAATTCAGAGTATAAATAAAAAAAAGAATAATAATCTTAATAATATTTTTATAATATTCAATGTTTTTTAAAAATGTTTATATTATCAATTAATATTAAAAAAATCAATTTTTATTTAATAAATTTCTTTAAAATAAAAATAAATAAAAATTATAAAAAATTTTAACTAAAAATAATGAAATTAATTAAAAATCAAAATTAGAAAGAAAATTTTTAAAAATAATATATTCAAATTCATCACAATAACAATTCTAATATCACGTTTCCAAAAATAAAAGCGATTAATCCTTTATCAATATTCTATTATTAATCTTCGTTTTTAATCTTGTGTAATAATCTAGTTTTTAAGCATTTTTTTTATTAGGAATTATAATAGTACCCAGAAAAGCAATTAATACATTATTTTTCCGTACAAGTTAAACACTTAGGTTGTTTTGAATGGCAAGATTAACATAATTTAGTACTTTAATTTAAAAAATAACCATAATTACATCTTGAGCATTCTTTAGATTTATTACATTAATTACATCCTATTGGACATTTTATTTTTGTATTTACAGTAGAGATTTATAAACATTATTATTTTTAAAAATTAAATACATACCCTTAATTACATTAAAAGCAACTATTTTCAGTACATTTTTGACAATAACTAAATTTATTAGTGCATCTAATACATTATTAACTTGCATTACTTATATAATATCCTTCATAACAATAAATGCATTCTCCTTATTAAGAACATGATTCACATCCATAAGAGCATTTGCCTAAAGTGGTTTATTCACAATATGTTTAAGTTATATCCAATTAGTATCCATGATTACATCTTTTACATGAGAAATCATCACAAGATTGACAATTAGTATATTTAGAAGAACATTAAGTACAAGCTTTAGTTTGAAAATCAACATAATAACCTTTTTAACATTAATTGCAGCCTCGTTAATCGCAATATAAACAATTTTCATTACATTTTTCGCATTTTTCACTATTATCAGAATAAAAAGTATTATTAAAACAAGCATCTACACAACTACCATCATAATTCTTTAATTTAATTCCCTCGCAAACTAAACACTCTGTTGCATCATTAGGATTACATGATATGCAATTTTATTTACACAAAGTACATTTCTTTTCTGTATCTAATATATATCCTTTAGCAGAATCACATAAAATACATGTATTAAAATCAATTTATTAAAGACAACCAACAGAGAGTTCTTAGCATTCTTAAGCCTTTTATTACTCGATAAATCCTAATGGACATTTACTTAAACACGACTTATCACCTTAATAAAAGAAAAAACCTGTTTTGCAAGTATAGCACAAAGGAGAATTTTATTTTTCACAAGTTTCACAATTTCCTTTACATGTTCTGGACATCTCAGATTCACATTTACCTAAATCAAAATTAGGTTAATATCCGAATTTCTCATTACATTTTTCAACACACTAATTTTCTTACAATAATGTCAAAAAGAAACACTTAGTACACTCATTAGCTGATGGTCCTGTACATCTAGAGCAATTACTATTACATGGTTCACATTATCCTGCCATTCCGAAAAAACCTTAAGGACAATCTGATTTGCAAGTATTATCTGGGTTCAAGAATAAATCTGAAGGACATGATAAATTTCCTAAACAAGTTTGATTATGGACTGCACCAGAGCATTATATAGAACAATCTACTCCTCCATATCCAGATTGACAGAAACATTAACCTCTTACACAGAATCCTTTTTCTGAACAGAAATTCGCACATATAGGGGTATAATTGCAGAATCTAATATAATCTTAAGGACATGTGATTTATCCTTTAGCTTTTATGCCACTTTCATCAATATCCTTTTTTTGCCCTTATTCTTCTATTTCACATAAAACTTCATGTTAAATATCGGGAAAAATAATAGTTATTTAGGATGCATCAGAGGAGCATTTAAATTAGTGGCATCTTAAGTTAGTTTCATTATTAATTACAGATGAGGCTATTGAAGCTGTAGACTAAAAGCATTTACTATTAGTTGAATAATTAGATAATTTTTCCGATTCTTAAATTTTTTTAAATTTATCATTTATACTATTAGGATTTGAACATAATTAATCAAAAGAAGGATATATAATAGTACATCCGTCAAGGTATTAGTCAGATTTAGCATGACCATATCCTTCGAATTCAAATGAACATTAAAAATCCTTAGTTTTTTTAGCAAATTCAGGATATTGAGTTTGACTTTAACAAACGTATTCTAAAAAATCGCAACCTTTACCTTTTCCCCAAAATATATCATCAGACATATTCTCATTTACTTCAGGATAAAAACCAGTGTCTTTCAAAACAGCAATAGTAAATATTGATAAAACCCTATCAACAGTTACAACACCTCCAGTCATCATTTCATTATAGATAATAGATCTTTCCCAATGAGCACCGATTGAACCAGGATTGCCCTATATATATATATATATATATATATATATATTTATATATTTATATATTTATATATTTATATATATTACTTAATTTTCTATTTACATTCCTTCAGCAGTAGGACAATTAAAATATTTTCTTGTTACTTTAACTACATTTTCTGTTGCTAAAAGAATTGTTTCTTATTATCTGTATGTTTTTTTTATTTGTATATTTTTTAATTAACTTTTTTCATAAGGTTTTTTAGTTTTAGGATCTATCCAACTTTATATTGCATTTCCTGAAAAACCAATTATATGTAAAATTTCGTGAATTGTTATTTCTAAATAATTTTCAAAATTTTAGGCATCTTCTTAAAATTTTTACATATAATATAAGTTGAATTTCACTCTTCCGAAAATTGGTCTAGATATTCCTTAGTTAGCCATTGCACAATAAATGGCACTTGCATACTATCCATTTTTTTCATTAGAATATATAACATACAAGTGTAAATCGGAATTAGCTACTCCTACTGTTTTATCTTTTTAAGGAATTTCTACATCAAAACATAATTTTTGCTAAGGTTTAGGAAAAATGTTATTACCTGTAAATGGATATACTTTCAAAAGTCTCTAGAAAAAAAGCTTTGATGTTTCCATAATACTTATTAAGTAGTCTTTTTATTATTGCGTTATTCCCAAATTTAAGTTATCTATCGTAGAATAATCTATAGTTATTCTTATAGGCTTTGCATCGCTACCTATTTAAAGAATGCGTTATTCATGGTTTGAATTTTCCATTTTTTCGTAATCTTCCTACATTTTCTTATAGTGATTTTATACTTATTTACTCTCATGACTGCATTTATGGTTAGAACGCGTAAATATACCCAAAATTAAAATACTAATTAAAATTATTTTTTTTAACATATTTTTTTATATTTATTTATTTTTAATTTTAAAATATACGAATTTATATGTGTATTTTTATTTATAATTTTTCTTTTTTATATATTTAATTTTTTTTTTTTAAAGGATTAATTTAGAATATTTTATATTATTTTTAATGATTATATATATATAAATTAATATTTTATTTATTTTAATACTTTTAATTAAATATAATATTTAAATTTTATGGATATTTTTTAACATTCATTAATTTTTTTTTTATAAATAAAAATATATTAGAATAAAAATAATATTAATTTATTAATAAATATTTATATAAATCAATTAAAATATGATATATTATAACAATCTAAATTTATTAATTAAATATTATTAAAAAATTTTCATACAATTTTAAATTAAAAAAATCAAAATATCTTTTGAAAATAAAAAGTAAAAATATAAATAATTATTTTAATTATTATATTTATGAAGATTTTTATAGATTGATTTATATTTTATTTATAAATCAATGATTTATGCTTTTTAAAAAATATTTTTATATTAAATTTGTCATATTTTTTTTTTTTAGTTAAATTCTTTTTTTTTATATTATTTTTATTTTAAATTCTTTAATAATAAATGATTAAAAAAGAAATTAAATATGATTATTATATTTATTATAAACTAATTTTTATACTATTATTTATTGTTAATGAAAATAAAATAGTTTATAAATAACTTCTTTGTTATTTATAGTTTTAAAGTCTAAATAAATAAGTTTAAAAATAATTATAAACATTAAAATAAAAAAATAAATTTCCTATAAAATATATATTTTTCGTATTCACATATTTTTGTTTTTTTTAAAAAAATATTTTTTTTAAAAAAATATACAGGTATATATATAATCATTTTATAAAATTTTGAAATTTTAAAGGATGAATATACTAATTATTATATTAGTCTTATTATATTTTTATAACGAAACTTCATCTAGAAAAAAAAAATTATAAATAATATAATTTATTAAATTTTTATTTTTTATTTACAAGAAATAAAATTATTATTTCTTAATTTATGTATATAATATAATATTTGATTTAATTTGCAAATCATTTAATTAAAAGAAATATATAATATAAATAGAAATATAGAATAAATAAAATCTAATGAATATTCATTATTAAAAATAAAAATAAAACAATAATAATAAAAAATATTTAACATACAAATAAAAAAAATTCAATAATAATATAGAATAAAAAAAAATATTAATAATAAAATGATATTTTTAAAATTATAGACATATATAATAATAATTAAATATATAATAACTTAAATAATTGTATTATATAATAATTATTTTAAAAATCAATATAATTAATATATATTTATTAAAAAATATTTTTTTTTCAAATTTATTTTATTTAAGCAATAATTATTAAATATTAAAATTTATCATTAATAAAATATCTTAATATTTATGATAAATATAAATTATAAAATAATAAAAAACCAATAAAATATTAAAATCTATATTATTAATTTATACAAAAAAATATTTTTATTTTTAAAAGATTAAAAATAAAAAACTTCTTAAATCTATTCAGAAGGATAAAATGATCCATGTAATATCGATTGCTCTAGATATACAAAACCATCAATTAATGACTGTAATAAGTGTTTCTTTTTGACATTATTGTAAGAAGATTAGTGTATGGACAAATATAATGAGAATTTCGGATATTAACCTAATTATGAATCAAGTAAATGTGAGATGTCAATAATTAGTAAAGGAAATTGCTAAACTTGTAAAAAATATAATTCTCCTTTGTGTTATACTTACAAAACATGATGATAGTCAAAAATGCGAAAAATATAGTAAAAATTGTTTTTATTGCAATTAAGAGGTTTTAGTTAATGTTAAGAAGGTTATTATGTTGATTTATAAATAAAGCTTGTACTCAATTTTCTTATAAACATAAACGTTAAAATTGATACTAACTGAATTTAATTTTAAAAACTGAGAAAAAAGTTCTTCAAACTTATGTAAAATTATGTAGTTCTTATAGAGGATATAATTCTGATTATTCATCTAATTATTTTAAATATAAATTATTAATATAAGTTTTAAGTAATATTTTTTAAATAAATAGTTATATATGAGTATGCTTTTTTTTCTATTGGTTATGTTATACTTGGATTACTTATTTTGAAAAAAATTAAATAAATAAATTTTTTAATTATATTTATGAATTATGGAATTTCATTTTTTAGTTTAATATTTAATATTTTTGTTATTATTTTATACGTTTATATTACTATTTCATATTTCTTTTTTACGAATTATAAATATATATTGATATTTAATAATATTAAATAGTATTTTTTTCAAAAAAAAATATACTTTATTGTTAGATTTTTATTCATTTTTATTAATTTACTTTAATGTGGAAATTATATACTAAATTTTTATTTTTTTTATTTTAAACAAAATAAAATAAAATTAATTTTTAATTTATTTTCTTCTAAATAAAAAAACATAAAATTATAAAAAATTGAAATTTAATTATATTTTCTTTTCTTTTTTAAATTATAAAAAAAAAATCTTTTATTTTATTTTTTATAAAAAAATTGGATAAAGTTTTTACTTTTTATAATAATAATATATCATTTATAAGAAAACAAAATAAAATAAAATCATTTTATTGAAAATTTAGGTTTTTTTAATTTGCTAAATTAATAGATATTGAATTTCTATTTATTATAATTAAAAAAAATATTTATCAACTTCATAATTATTTAATTAGGCGACAAATATTTAATAAATTACCATTTTTATATATTAATTTAAAATGTTTATTTATATATTTTATTTATATAAATATCTTTTTTTATAATCTATTATATATTTTATTAAAGAAATTTTTTAAGCATTTTATATAATAAAATATATATAATATATAATATATATATATATAATATATAATAT